GGCGGCGGCGACGCGGGCGGCTGGCGGCGCGGGGCGGTCCGGCGGGTTCAAAGAGGAAAACATGGCGGAAAACAAAGGCGGCGGCGAGGCTGAGAGCGGCGGCGGGGGCAGCGGCAGCGCACCGGTAACTGCCGGGGCCGCGGGGCCCGCGGTGCAGGAGGCGGAGCCGCCTCTCGCGGCGGTGCTGGTGGAGGAGGAAGGGGAGGAGGAGGAAGGCAGCAGGGCTGGCGCGGAGGGCGGCGCGGCCGGGCCCGACTTTCCCGCCGCCCGCCCGAGCGCTGCCGGGCCGACTCGCGCGGAGGCCCGGGCTTTCTATGAGCGCGAAGATGGAGACGACCTTCTACGACGACGCCCTGAGCGCCTCGTTCCTGCCGTCCGACGGCGGCGCCTACGGCTACGGCAACCCCAAGGCGCTGAAGCAGAGCCTGACCCTGAACCTGGCCGACCCGGCGGGCAGCCTGAAGCCGCACCTGCGCGCCAAGAGCGCCGACCTGCTCACCTCGCCCGACGTGGGGCTGCTCAAGTTGGCGTCGCCCGAGCTTGAGCGCCTGATCATCCAGTCCAGCAACGGGCACATCACCACCACGCCGACGCCCACGCAGTTCCTGTGCCCCAAGAACGTGACCGACGAGCAGGAGGGCTTCGCCGAGGGCTTCGTGCGCGCGCTGGCCGAGCTGCACAGCCAGAACACGCTGCCCAGCGCCGCGGCGGCCGCGCAGCCTGTGAGTGCGGCGGGCGGCGGCGGCGGCGGGGGTGGCGGCGGCTTTGGGCTGCACAGCGAGCCGCCCGTCTACGCCAACCTCAGCAGCTTCAACCCCGGCGCGCTGGGCGGCGGCGGTGGCGGCGGGGCGCCCTCCTATGGCGCGGCCGGCCTGGCCTTCCCCGCGCAGCCCCAGCCTCAGCCGCAACCGCACCCCCTGCCCCAGCAGCTCCCTGTGCAGCACCCGCGGCTGCAAGCCCTGAAGGAGGAGCCGCAGACGGTGCCCGAGATGCCCGGCGAGACGCCGCCGCTGTCCCCCATCGACATGGAGTCCCAGGAGCGCATCAAGGCCGAGAGGAAGCGCATGAGGAACCGCATCGCCGCCTCCAAGTGCAGGAAGAGGAAGCTCGAAAGGATCGCCCGGCTGGAGGAAAAAGTGAAGACCTTGAAAGCGCAGAACTCGGAGCTGGCGTCCACAGCCAACATGCTCAGGGAGCAGGTGGCGCAGCTTAAACAGAAAGTCATGAACCACGTAAACAGCGGGTGCCAACTCATGCTAACGCAGCAGTTGCAAACATTCTGAGGAGAGACTGCTGCGGCTGAGAGCGGAGGAGAAACAAAGTAACACAGACTGACTTGAGAACTTGACAGCTTGCGACCGAGAAAAAGAAGCGTCCGGGGACTGAGGCCAAGGGTATCCAAGTTGGACTGGTTGCCTGACGGCGCCCCCAGCGGGCTTGAGTGGGAAGGACTTGGCGGGGAGCCCTGGAGCAGCCGCCCGCGGGCTGCCCCCTCTGCGGACGACGGGCTGTCCCCGCGCGAACAGGGCGAGGGACTCTTCTTCAACATTGACCAAGAACTGCATGGACCTAACATTCGATCTCATTCAGTATTAAACGGGGGGCGGGGGGTTCCAAACTGCTCTAGAGACTAGCTTGCTTCCGTAGTGCTCCTTAAGAACAAAAGGGGAGGGGGCGGAGGGAGGGAGGGTGTGAGGGCCAGGCTGAGCCTGCCTGCAGGTGAACTCTTTCTGGCCTGCCTTCCTCAACTGTTTATGTACATATATATATTTTTTAATTTGATAAAAGCTGATTACTGTCAATAAAACAGCTTCCTGCCTTTGTAAGTTATTTCATGTTTGTGTGTCCTGCCCAGTGTTGTTTGTAAATAAGAGATTTGGAGTACTCTGAGTTTACCATTTGTAATAAAGTATATAATTTTTTTATGTTTTTTTCTGAAAATTCCAGAAGGGATATTTAAGAAAATACAATAAAATATTGAAAAGTACTCCCCTAATTATTTTCTGCCTTATCTGTAAAGCTAGCTAGATGTAGCTGAAAAAGTTTAGCTTCAGTTAAAATCACTTGTAGTGCTTCTTGCTGTCAGGCAGTGTGAACTGTGTTCTCCACTAAACTTTAGAAACACTCTTGCCTTCTCTGCTGCTGTGAGGAATTGCTTACCAAAAGACAGCGTTTTGTCTCAGGAAGCTGGAAGAAGGAAGGCTGTGATGAGGGCAGCTTGGGTAATGCCAACACTTACAAGTTTTGGATTGTATTGAGGGGCATGTGTCGTGGTCCTTGATAATGTTAGTACAGATTTAACAATAGAAGCTATTCTCAAAGCAGAACTTGTGGCAGATTTTACAAAAGTTGTATCTATCAATTTGGAATCTTTAACAATGCCTAGATTTTTTAAAAAATGGCCTTTGCTTATGAATATTTATAATAGCGTTCTTGTCACAATAAATATACTCAAATACTAATAACACATCTTGAACTCCTTTCCCTTTACTACTTTTTTCCCCCAACCTGTATACTGAAGCTTTTCATTTGCTCGGGTTACCAGGCCTTCAATCTGAAATTGCCTAGTAATTAGGAAGAGAATTTAGGAAGAATCAAAATAGAAGTTGTAATGTGGTCAACTCTCTCTCTCTCTCTCTCTCTCTCTCTCTCTCTCTCTCTCTCTCCCTTTCCTCCTCTTCCTCCTCTTCTTTCTCTTTCCCCTCCTCTTCACTCCTCCCCACTCCCATCCCTAAAATAAACCCCATATGCCTAAGGAAATCATTAATAGCGCATTTTATCATTTTGGATCAATATTCATTCTGTATTTCTAAAATAACCTAGCTTAAATAATTATCTACCAGTCTCAAAAGATGCTAATCTAAATACTATTGAAAGATTCACAAGAGAACACAAACCTTGATGCAGTGATTACATTTGTAAACCAACTCAGCTCTGGGGAAATAGCAAATTCAAATTCTTTACAGGTATCCTTAGGAGATCAACAAGGCAGCACTCAACAAGGGAACTATTTTTGCTTGGTTGCTTTTCATCCCAAGAGCCAGAATGATTATCAAGCAGCAAAAGTAATTTGATACCCAGGAATATTTTACAAACCACTACTTGGGGGAGGGCTGTTTGCTCATTAGCCGTGCTGTAGGACCCAACAGCTCTGGCAGTGCTAATACTCTGCCTGTAGCTGTGAGTCCAGATAGACAAAGAGTTTCTCTTTAGGAGCAAATCCCAGATTGGAAGGTTGGCCTGTGAAGTATCAGATATACTCCTTGTAGTAACACTTCTTGAACAAAGGGTTCCTGGGAGCAGAGCTCTGTTTGCCCCACAGTGAAGTTGCTAGTGTCAGCAACTTGGAAGGTGAGTTGATTTTGACCATATGTAGAAATAGCACAGGGACAATAAAGCACTTTGGGGTGGGGCTCTGCAGAAGCTAAACAAGAGCCAACTAGAAAAAAAAAAAAAAAAAAGCAGGCTAGGGAATTAATTACCTGCAAAGGTAGATGAAGCCCAGACAACAGCGCAGTACAGAGGGCACACCATGCCTCAGGTTGCTTTAGACTTCAGCATTTAAATACAGAAAAAGCATGAAACTCAGACTTAGTTGATTCTTTCAACTAACATTTTAAATTCTGACCATTCTAACCAGAAGGGATGGAAAAATAATTGTATCAGAGGAAAGTAACCAATAATAGCCTATAAACTTTGGAAAGAAAAATCAGCTAATTCTAAACACATTTAGGGATTACTTTCATTATGGACCTTAAATGAGTTATTCTTTGGGTAGCATAAGGGAGGCAAAGCTAACAAAATATAAAGTCATTGTCCTCATTTAATGTGTTATATGTATGTATATTTCAATCATGAGTTTTTAGCCCTGTCATGAAAAAGAGACAGACAGATGGACAGATAGACGGACGGACAGATGGACAGACAGGCAGGCAGACAGGCAGACAACACACTATTCAGGATGTGTGTACTAGCTTTGATTAGGCCTTTCCAGAGTACTGTTTCACAAAAGGTAATTATGCCCTGAACTGCTCACTAGCAGAAACATATCTTTGTATATATAAATCTTCACCCTTCCAAACTTCTGCTACTAACCCCCTGCTCATCACCCTGCCTGGAATACCTTTTATTCTGGTTCAACAAATGATTCTTCCCCACTTTTTGCTGCTTTTTTGGCATAAGTGGTGCCTTCTCTGTGAAGCCTTCCTTGTTGATTCCACTATCAGGTGAATGAATAGTTCCCCTGTGAGCATCATAATGTTTTCTCAAAACTTCTATGCCAGCACTTGCCAAAATGTGCTAACACTGTGCACATCAGTGTCTCCCGGCCCTATCTTATTCATCAGGGGACCCTAGCACAATTCCTGACACTCAGTAGATATTCATAAAGTAAAATTTTGATGACTGAATGAACAAGTGAATTTAAGTCTTTCTCCAACATGATTCAACTCTTTGTTCTAAGGAAAAATATGCTTCATTCATATTCTGGTACACAGTTCCAGATGGGTCACAGACCTTACCAGAAAAATCAAACCTGGCCAATCACCAAGTTCTATATTCTAATTCTCAATGCATGTTCTTAAAAGAATTAGGCTGTTAACACATTCGTACATACAGCCACACAGAACATTTCTTCCTATCTTCACTAATATACATGGGCATCTTGTTATTTAAAATGAATCTGCATGAAATATTAGGCTTGGAGGTGGAGATGAGGAAGGAGAATGTGTGTGTCATTAAGTAGGCACAAAAAGTAGTTCCAGATGTGACTTTAATAAAAAACAGCCAACTTCAATGGTGGTGAAAACGGGGCTTTCTATTTACAAAATTAGATGTATTTTAGGCATCTAGGAATTAGTACCCTACCAAGTGTTTACTTGCTGAAGTACATGTGTCCTTATTGTCAGAGAGCAAGTGAATTTGTTGAATCCAAGATGAAGACAAGATCTTCAAGCCCTCTTTACTCCTTAGCTCTGCCGCTTACTCCTATACAAGTCAAGTGATGTTTCCTAGAAGGGGAGAAATGGATGAAGAGTTGGCTGGGTTAGCCCCAGGAAGGGAAACTACTACTTCTCAAGCCTGGAAACCAGATTTATATTTTGGGTTTGGGATGTTTCGATATCCCACAAAAGGGAAATTCCCCTAGGCCTTCGCCTCTTTGAGAAGCTTGGTAGAGTATGGAGATTCAGTGATGAATGAGATGTCATGTGTGTTGTCACAGAACTCACATTCTGGTGTGGAGGAGTTAGAGACTAATTGGCACAAGACACATATTATAGGAAAGAGGTACCAGAGAAAGAGTGAAGGAGCTGCCACTAACAAAAGCTTCAGGGAAGTGCCATTGCAACTCCAGTGTACTCACCATGTAAAAAAATGCTGGAGGAGGAATTTGTACGGAAAGCTCGAGAAAACACTGTGTTAAAAGACTCAGAAATTGTTTGGAAAGACTGGAAATGAAGGTGTGAGAAGAAAGAAAGGGGAGATGAAGCACACAAGGAAGGCAAGGCTCAGCTGTGCAGGAACATTGGTTCCTTTTTTTTTTTTATAGTCAATGGAGAAATGTAGAAGGACTTGAAGTAGCGTGAGCCATGGACACCATAGTGGGATGTAAGCCCAAAAAGGTCTTGTATGTAAAGCAGTCTTACTCTGGCGGGAGAAATGGGAAGAAGATGATTTTGTCGAAGCTGCATCATGGCTCATTTCTCCTTATGCGTGCAACTTTCTGGCAAATTAGAGCTGAAGAGATATCCAGAGGCTCGCTTTATGCTACACTACTCATCCTCCACTTCTTCTTCCCTTTTGCTGTAGCACTATAACACCCCAAAGGACAACCAGTTTATAAAACACTCAGTCATGGAGCTCAGAGAGGCAGACATGAAAGAAACACACCTGCAGCCTCCACAAGGAGAAGGGGGAGTGAGTCCTCACTGTGGTAAGACACACACCTGACTTTGTCTAGTTATCCAGAACTGGTTAAACTCAGTGGGACCAGGTCATCCAAAGGCTACAAACTCTTTTATATACTAATAAAGAGGCTAATGTTTGTATTTAAGTTGTAGAATTAAATAATAATGTTCACTACTGAATGCCTCTGTTATGCAAGGTACTGAGGAACATAATGGAGAGTGAAATTAATAGGATGCTCCTGTTGGAGTTTGTCAGCTAGTAAGAGATGTAGTAAATGGAAAAGCACACAAGCAAATGTATGGCTGAACCCCAGCAGTGCAATGAAGAAGCACTGGGCACTGTGAAAGAGAATCTAAGCTGGACTGGGAGCAGAAAAACCCTTTCTGGAGTGATACTGAGCTGAGAACTTAGGTAACCAAGAAAGAGTTCAAGAGCCGGCCAAATAGCTCGGTGGATTAGAGCACCTGTAAGCAGGCACAGGGGCTGGGGGTTTGATCCTATGGCCTGCTGTGCTGGCCCTGCCCCGAAGCATGTTGAGATGGCAATTGAGACTGGGCATGGTGGCGGGTGCCTGTAATCCCAGCTCTGGGGAGGCTGTAAACAGGGGGATCACTACGAGTCCAATCTAGTGGTGAAATCCTGAACAACATGTAGACCTTTCCCTAAAATACAAAAAAAAAAAAAAAAAAAGAAAAGAAAAAAAGAAAAAGAAGAAAGAAAGAAAGAAAGAAAGAAAGAAAGAAAGAAAGAAAGAAAGAAAGAAAGAGTTCAGCAGGTGCAGAACAAACTCGTGGGGGTAGGGAGGTCACAAGTGGGGGATCAGCCTGAGGGGAAGCTCAGGAAAGATTCTGGAGTATTATAGGAGCTACAAGGGGCCCTGAGTCCCAAGTCCCAGAGTAAAGTGGGCAAATAGAGAACTACAAGAGCAGTGGGCTTTGTACTTACCAGCTCCTATTCCTGGAGCTTCCAAAATGCTTTAACCTCTTCTGTCTCATTTCTTTTCACCACTGTTCTGGATGCTC